AAAAAGGAAAACTTTATACCAAAATTTTAGTTTTCTATAATTTTTTGTAATAATAAGTGGTTTTAAAATTAATTAATAATGGTCAAAATGTGCAATAATGTAAAACTACAAATTACATTACCATTACGCTATTTTCTCTTATAATCTATTTTTTTTCCAAAATAAATGAGAAAAATAACTTGTACCATGTTACTTTGGAACTCCCATAACCTTTCAAATTTCTAATAAACTCTAATAGCCTTAAATTTTCTAATACTATATAAGTTGGTTAGTTAATATGAGATAAATCCAAAGAAAACTTTATACCACAACTTTAGGCTTCGATAATCTTTTTTTTTTTTTTTTATTATCATAATAGGTGGTTTTTAAAATTAATTCACTGTAACACGCATAGATTTAGGCTAGTGAATTAAACAGAATAAACTATATAAATGCCATTTTTGTTGATGATTATTTAGGATAAATAATTTCAACCAAGTTCAAGTATATGTGACAAATATTCTGTACATATAAAGAAAGATAAAATTTGAATTCGTATGAATAAGTTATGCTTCTTCGAAGTTTCACGATTAAACCAATACAACTCTACGTATCGTAAAAAGTAAATTTTTTATAAATTACTTTTTAGCGTAAGTGATCTAAGCGAAAGTCATATTAGTCATTAAAAAGAGAGCGATCATGTAGAGAACATTTAAATCTGACTTCATTAGAGGGAGTTATGATTATTCTAATATTCAGCGTAGCACTATAAATCTCAGAAATTGAATTTTCGATCGGTCATTTTTTAGCCAAAACAATCTAAAACAGAATTGAATATCTCATTAATAGGAGCCCAACTAAATAAGGAAAGTTGAAAACGGACTCCATATAAGAAAGTTATGCATTTTATATGGGCTTTACAAGTCTAAGCTTGTGTAAAAAAAAACTAAATCAAAATTAGCAAAAGAGTCTAAATGAAAGTTGTAAATCTCGTTGAGAGCTTTTCGGGGATATAAAGAACATCAAAAGCAAAGTTCGTATGAAGAAGTTACACAATTTTGAAAATATGAAAAGTAGCACATGTGCGAGGTGTGTAACGAGGTTCTAGAAGCAACCACATAGCCCCACCCGTTATAGATCGGCTCATGGATGGAGAATCGTCAGTCTAGTGCGTAACACACAACCCTAGGATGCGTGGCACACAAGTCAGTTTTTCGCCTATAAATAATCCGCTTCGTATATGCTCCTAAGATCTTACCCTTAGGCACTTCTCTCTCAAAACTCCCTCATGTAGCCCCATTTTTCATGAGTTACTGACATGCAGCGAATCCCGGTGACACCCTTAAGAACTCAACTAATTATTAGCTTTCGAGTGGGAGATCCCGAGTCAATATTCTGCCCGCTTTGTTCCTATTTTCATCAAGAACCTCTGTAATCTAAACTATGCTTAGTTTATGTTAAGTGTAACCTTTAATTATAGTCATAATCATTATTATGAACCTACAATTAAGGTTTATTAGTGATTCCAAATATTTATACTGATTGATCTACTTACAAGAGAAGTGTATAAAATGGTCACTTTAGCTTGGTTATCGGATTTCACAAAGACTATACGCCGAAACGATCCTGCCTCCCAACTGTCCTACCTGACTGATCCTTATTTGATAAAACTCTTACTACTCATTGGGATTAGTGAGGAATCTAGACTACCATTATCATCAGGAAATAATTAGACTAAGACTGAGTGACATTCGTATATAGGTCACATCAGAAGAAAAATGTCAAGGAGTTTGGCAGAGCATAACCGAATTCTCCAGTAACCCATCTAAGTCAGGTGAGTGCATTGCCCCTTTCGTAATAATAATAATAATAATAATAATATTATTATTATTATTATTATTATTATTATTATTATTATTATTATTATTATTATTATTATTATTATTATTATTAACCATATCTGGTTCGCATATCATATATCCTCAAACATGGTTTTAATATAATCGAATTCTCCAGTCACCCATCTAAGTCAGGTTAGTGCATTGTCCCTTTCATAAACATGGTTTTATTATTATTATTATTATTATTATTATTATTATTATTATTATTATTATTATTATTATTATTATTATTATTAACCATATCTGGTTCGCATATCATATATCCTCAAACATGGTTTTAAAATAATCGAATTCTCCAGTCACCCATCTAAGTCAAGTGAGTGCATTGTCCCTTTCATAAACATGGTTTTATTATTATTATTATTATTATTATTATTATTATTATTATTATTATTATTATTATTATTATTATTATTATTATTATTAACTTTGATATCGGGTAGTCTCAATCGGGATATGCGTGTGTAGGCTAAGAATGGAGAATATAATTCTATTCCTTGACAATTTTAGGTGTTGATGGTACAAAATACATACTAGAGTACAAATCGTATTCCTTTTTGGATGACCAGGAATGGTGAGTCCAGATCAGAAAACTATAATGGTATCTTTGCTTATTCCTTTTGGTGAACAGAAATGGTGGGACTAGATCAGGAAAAAATAATGGTATAGCTGCATAATCCCTTGGATGACCAGAAATGGTGGATCCAGGTCAGGCAACGATAAAAGTATGTCTAGTCATCGTCCAAATGATAATCTCTTGATTATTCTAAATGATCCATCAGGGAGGATAATCCTTCCTGATAATCTTAGACTAGGATATGTGATGATCGATTGGGGTGTGTAAGTTTAGGTATAAGGGTTTGTAGATATCCAAGTTGGAAACAAATCTATATATTGTTTGATAACACTTGGTTTTAATATTAAGATATATATATATATATATATATATATATATATATATATATATAATGACATTGTGTGATTGAAATTCTTATGTACTTATCAGGTTTCCCAACCCGACCCACTCAGATTCTTTGTATCACATATAGCGATACAAATATACAATCCACTGAGAGATTCGAGGAGTTTTATGCCATTAGTACAATAAGATAATATATGACCTGTATCGTTTATGCTTATGTTTTGTATCAATCATGCCATCCTAAGATTTTTATAATGAATGAAAAACATTTCTTTAAAAATATATTAAAGGACCTTTTCCGCAATTATAAACGAACTCTGATTTAAATAACCATAGATAAAACTTTTTAAAATGGTCGTAAATATGCGGATGTCACAGTTGCTATGAGAGCATTAGTTTAAGCAAAACAGGAATTTAGTGGATTTCTAGACTTCAACTAGAATGCTAATGGTTGTGAGATAGATGTCTATTATAATTTAGGTAATACACCTGAACTGACACAAACACTAGCTTACTTTAATTAAGATAAGATTCCTAAATTGCTTTTATGTTCTATTTGATTTATAGAATAACATGCCTTAGGTCGCCTATCTAAAATGCTATTAATAGGTTTAAGGTTGTTGCCGACCTAGAATTAAGAACTTTTATGTGTTTAGGTTTCTAAACGTTTAATTACAATATTAGAACTGACATATAACATTTCAAAGTAATTAAGAGCATTACATGTCTAAACCTCCCCTATCTATATTCTCGTCTCAACACACCAAATGCATGTTTTGATGTATAAAACGTCATGATAAGGACTCGTAGCCGACTGAGAAAATGGAAAAAATGAGAAGGCTTACGGTAGTGAATGATACGTATGAAGATATAATAAGTGATATCTTTCATTTAGAATACGCCTGATAAAATAACAGTACGTCTAGAGGAGTGTGGTACGTCTGAAGTACACCTTCGATTAATAGGATAATAGAACTTTTGGTGTAACTCCTGAAGTCATCCCATCATCTGGCGTTTCCATCGCCAACCAAGTAGAAGAAGAAATTGTTGTTGAAGATAGGTGAGGAAAACATCCCAGAAGAGTCTATTAGGACATGTGCTTATTTGGACATATTACTATGTGCTAAAGTGTTTGATGATTTTAGGAATATTTACTTAGTGGACTGCGAGACAATACTTGGGACGAGTAGGAGTATGTGTGAAATATAGTAGAGACCTATACTACCGGAAACACATAAGTCGTACTTGGATCAAGGAAAATAACAAGGTTACTAAGTCTCTAGTAGTTGAGCCATTTTTGTTAATTTCCATCATTGCCTTTGATTTTGTAATGAATGCGAAAATTATTTCGACCTTAGTGGTCATATCGAATCGAGTCCGAATAAATCTACGAGGTAAGTTCGATGTAGCGTCCGACTTTAGATTAAAGGAAAAGATAATCGAAGCGATCAATAAATGTATCACAATCTTCGTTAAGACTAAGCAGCATGTAACTAGAAAATCTATAGAATGTAACTAGAATGTGATTACATCACATTAGATCATATAGGAAGGTAGTGTCCATGCTAGAGTATGACTTAAAGAGACCTGAGTCAAATCGTTGCATCATACGATGAAAGGTTACTAGAACATGACCCATCAGTATGTTACGATAGTCGTTCAAATGTCTCAACAACGGATGACGCCATTGATGTGAAGTTAGACCTGCGTGAGTATCTCATGTGTTACTATTCTTGATTCTTGGTGTATTTTACTTTCAATTGGGGTTACAGGTACAACTAATTCAGTAAGGCCATTGAGTGGATTAGTTAGTGTTGCTTACACCCCGAAGATTGCACTTCAGTTTTGCAGTCCTAGGTCCTTGCTAACCTTTATTTCTTTCTATTAAAATTGCAATATAAAGAAAATAATTTTGATCCTGAAAATTTAAAATCGTGAGAACTCTATCAGTTCCTTGTTTCACATATAATGCTCCATCGGTTCCCCTAAAAGAATAAGGGTTTGAGCTTTCACTTTAGGTTTTAGGAACCTTCATTGGATCATATATACGTATGAATTAATTGAAGTCAACCTGAGACGCCCAATCATTAATCAGTTAAAAGGTTGTTTTCCAACAGAGGGATATTCTCTCAGAATACTATTCTAATGGATTCTTTGTAAGCCTAACTTGTGAATTCGCAACTGATCCAAGAATGGCCCAAAGGAATATGATATCCGTTTGTTTCTTGTTAACCAACACCACTAATCGTATCGTATGCCCATAAACATTATATCGAAATTTTGTATAACAACATAAGAGAACTGCTTTTGTGAATGTATACATTGATAGAACAACTAGAAAGACAACATTATTACACAAATTTACATCGTTTAGACTCAGTTCTCCTCCATCGCCTCCACTTTATCATGATAATTAAATCTGAATAAACCTTAGCTAACACCAATACCTCGTACCTCATTTTTAATTTTTCAGTGCGCTCTGTTCGTATCCTTGTTGCTGGTGATCAAGGACGCCATTTGAATCCCACGAGTTTGAGGAAGCTGAATTCGCATCGAACTCATTCGACCACCAAGTCATCATGTCCTTGGAACCATCCATTTCCTTGAAATAGTCAAATTCATTTGCCTGTGCTTGATCTAGTTGTATCGGATTAGCTCCTTTGTTGTTCAAGAACTCATCGATTTCAGCTTGTAGTGCCCAAAACTGCTGGAATTCCATGCCTGGCTGTTTCATACCAATTGATTCCGGTACTTGTGATGATGATTCGGGAACATTAACTCTATCGATGGAATTCTCCATTTGGTTCATCAACATATTATTTGGTAGGGAATACATGTTATTATATGGTCGAAAAAGTTCAGCCTTTTGATGTGCATCAGGTAAAGCATATTGCATCATTAGAGGGTTTGATGATTCACTTAGAAGTTGGAGACGATGCATCATCTTTTCTTGGATTGGGTTCAACTTGAAAGGCCACATCGCCAGATTAGGAGAGTGATTAGGGTTTTCAAGGTTTTGGAGTTGCATGTGAAGTTGGAGCCTTTCAATGGCGGAATTGCTTAGACTTTCCATTTCGTTCCCATTTTTGGAGTCTTGAGTTGAACCATCGAGCTTATTACCATGAGACTGCTTGCGTCTTCCAAGCAATTTCTTCTTCAATCTTGTATTCCAATAGTTCTTGATATCATTATCAGTTCTTCCAGGCAATTGAGCAGCAATTATAGACCACCTATTTAATTGCAAAAGTGATTCAGATACAATATTAGCTCATACATAACAACCACGAACTAACAAAAGCATGTATACATAAATCAATAAGAAATTTGAGCATGTTATAACGCAGGTTATATTCTTTGAACAAGAGCATCATGGTCAAGTGCAAAGGACAAACGGGAGAGAGAGAGAGAGAGAGAGAGAGAGAGAGAGAGAGAGAGAGAGAGAGAGAGAGAGAGAGAGAGAGAGAGAGAGAGTAATACCTGCTGCCAATACTAATATAGAGGCTGCAGATGGTGTTGTCTTCTTCTTCAGAGAATCCTCCGTGCTTGATATTAGGTCGAAGGTAATTCAACCACCTGAGTCTGCAACTTTTTCCACACCTTTTTATGCCTGTATACGTACAATCGTTTAGGTTAAAACGCAAGGAAGGTTATTGTCAGAAAAACGAACTTGCTAGAAAAGGAAATATTGTAAGCAAAAGATGAAGATGCATACCAATCTTTTGTGGAAGAGCGATCCAGTTGCCACCAGTACCATATTTTTCAATATAATCTTTGAGCTTAGCATCTTCTTCGGGAGCCCATGGCCCCTTCTTCACGTTTGCTTTGTCACAACAAGGTGCTCTTCCCATCTTTGTTTAGTTCGTGTACCTTTGGACTCGATCAAAGCTTCTCTGTATTTCTCTCTCTTTGCGTCTCTGGGTTGTGTTTGGATAAATGTAAGCGATGACCTGAGATTTATAGTGGGAATGCCAATTAGGGTTGGATGTGGTTCCTTTTAAAGAAAAAAAAGTCTTCTGCTAGGGTTTTGGTGTGTTTAACAACTCGAGCATAGAATACATACTTTAATTAATTATTTTTAAATTCTCAAAGTTCTGTGATATATTCCTGTTCTTGATAATAATTTAATAACTACTCCTTGTCAAAGTACTTAGCTTTTTAATCCAAAATGTTTTAGTATTTTATTAATTTTCAAACAGTACTTTTATCATATTTTAAATTTACTTGTAATGACTTAAAAGATAGTAAACAATAGAGAATAAACAACGTAATTAGTACGTTAGTAAATAGATTATGTGAATAAATGTAATAAGTTCAAAACTGGAAAACTACTAATACATTGAAACTTCGGATTGAAAATTAATTAATACATTGGGGTTTTGTTTTTAAATGAAAGTAATAATGATGCAACCAGACAAACAACTGCGCAATTATCTTCCTTATCTTTAGATATAAATATTCTAAAGCAGACTGGGGAAAATGGTTTCTTTTATGTTTAAAGGTAATGGTGCAAGTAAAATCAAGAAAGAAAACTCCATGATATTTGTTTGTCGCCAACCTCCTGTGTATTGTACTTCATTATTATTGCGACAGTTGTATTTTTGATAAAAATTGAACAAATTAAAGTTGGGTTCATTTCTCACTTCTAATAAGTTAAAATTATTTATCTTTTATCTTGAAATTGAAGATAGTGTCACTTGTATATGAGGAAATGCAAAATAAGTGTTACTTGTATAAGCGCAAATTGAAAACAGTGTAAATTGAAAATGATTTAATTATTTTGTTAGTCCATTAAGTCCATGAGAGATGATAAACTTTTGGTTCCTTTAGTTGGATCTTTTTATTGTCAAGACACTTTTGCATAAGAAATTTTAGCTGACTTTCTTCCACCTCTGTTTCGGTGGTACTCGTACAGAATATCTCCATAAAGAGTTTAGCATAGAAAAGGGGTTAGGCAAGGATACCCTTGTCATCGTATGCAAGCTTTAATCTAGCATTGCTAGAAGCGATGAAGAAAAATAGTTTAAGGTGATTGGCTTTCTAATAAGGCCAATATGTCTTGCTTTATTTTGGTGACAACATATCACACTACAATAAAACCAGTTATGACTCGCGACAAAAATTGTCGCTAAAGCTTACCATCTTGACTCATCTCGTTTCCTCCAAAATCACTTGGTGGTTTAATCCATGCTAGAAATTCTGTAATACACAACAAATCATTGACCATTGATCAGAGATTCTCCAAATACATAATAAATAACAACATATAAACTTATAAGTTAAAAAACATAAACCAAACTATAACAATATCAAAAATATAAGCAAGTTAAAATTACCAACATAAACCAATTACCAATAATCATCAAACTAACAAACTAGTAAACTATCAAATTTCCAATTGCTAAACTAACAAACTATTTAATTACATTCTAAGTTAAAACAACCAAACTATCAAATTATTAAATTACCAGTTTACAAAATACCAAAAAAAAAATCAGAAATACCTAAACAACATGAACATTATATATATATATATATATATATATATATAATATATATATATATATATATATATATATATATATATATATATATATATATATATATATATATGACTCTGAAGTTAAATAATATTGTTTGGTTAGAGATGGTTGTGATGGTCGTGCACACAAAAGTTTTTCATCCAATGCCTCTAATATGATCATGTAAGAACCTAATACTTTATCAAAACAAGCTCTTTCTCCAGTTTGTGTTAGATCTTTTTCTCCGTTTAAACCTTGAGTTTGTTCTAGGAGCTCGTGCACTAAATGATTATGTGTTTTCCAAAAACGATTAACAATTAAGTATAAGTAATAACTTAATTATATGACAAAATTGTAATTAAATACTTACATATTTCTCCTCTGCTACACAAGTAGAAAATATATCGTTCTTACCGGTGTGAACAACATAGAACGCTTCAACTATCTTCAAATTTTGTCTAACATTAAAAATTATATTATATTTTAAATAGATAATTACATATATAGTATGTTAGCTTTTTATACCAAGCAATACTATACGAGCTCGACCCTCCATAGTTTGAGTACTTTTGAAGTTCATGGACTTTTTTTGTTTTTGTTTTTGTTTTTGTTTTTTTTTCTGAAGCATTTTTGTGTTTGTTCGATTGGAAATACTCAACTTCCTCCTAATTATCGTTACCCATATCTATTTGGCACCAGGTTTATGATCTCTAAAACGTTTTGTTAAATTTTCATAAAAATCTCTAATATCCTAGCACTCTCTGGATCCAAGGAAACCCGATCCAAATCAAACTCTGTCTAATAAAATGATAGTTAAGGAAAAACCAATTATAATTAAACATAATAAATATTCAAATATAAATAATTTCCCCTGATATGTTGTTTTATTACATCCGATAACATGAGGGAAACTTTCTTCCAACCTATTCTATCAAAGGGGCTAACGACAACATTATCTTCCTAATCTGATGAGAAAACATGTCTTTAAGTTCTTCTACAGGATCAAATGAAAGATCCATATCAAAAGCCAAGTCTATTGGTTTACCCTTATTTTTTAACAACACCTTTTCAAGCTTAATATTCTTAGCTTTTCTTACACTTTTCTTTGGTGGAATAGCCGCAAATATAATTAAAAATTATTAATAATGATAATGTTAGCATATATATGTTGTTAGCCGACATATTTATGGGCCCTTTAGGATTTAGCCCATTAGGGTTTGGTTTTAGCTAGTATTTATTCTTCTTTTCCTTCTATGTAGCCTTTATGTTTTTCATTGTGAACCTTGTAATTTATATTTTTCAATAATCGTATGACAATATTATCATGATATCAGAGCGGTGGTTTGATATATTGTTAAAATGTTTTATAGCAGTCATCTTCACGGTTACGGGGGGTAGTCATCTATGGTCGAGCCCTGAACAAAAATTTCTAAGGTTATTGTAGCTGTTTCGTTTCTAATTTATTTTATACTCCTTCGCAATTGATGTTCATTTTCTTGTTGGTATTCGTTCTCTGTTGTTGTTAGTTCGTTGTTGTTCGATCTCTTGCTATTCGATTGGCAACTTCCGCTGGTTTGTTGCACTTCTCATTCTCTGATTTCTTATGTATTATTGTGGTTATTTATCCATTGCCAACATGACTAGAAATGATGATTCCCTTCAATCAATCAGTGCTCGACTTGATAGAAAAAGTTATATGTATTGGAGTTATGTTATGAATAACTTCCTTCATGGGAAGAATATGTGGGGCTATGTCACTAAGACTAACGCCAAACCTTAAGTGCCTTAAGCTGAGAATTTCGATTTGTTGGTTGATGCTTGGGAGACTGATAACTCAAAGGTCATTACTTGGATTAACAACTATATTACACAATCTATTAGTATGAAGCTTGCTAAATATGACAAAACAAAAGAAGTTTGGAATCACTTTGACAGACTGTATACTCAGTCCAACTTTACTAAACATTATCAGTTAGAATATGATATTCGTGCCATTCAGCAAAATGACTTGAGTAATCAACATTTCTATGTTGCTATGCCTGATTTGTGGGATCAATTGGCTCTTACTGAATTTAAAGAGTTAAAAGATTTTGAGCCTTATATTGCTATGAGGGAAGAACGACGTTTGGTCCAGTTTTTGTTGGCGTTGATTTCTAATTTTGAAGGTCTATGTGGAATGATTCTTCTTCTCTCCCCTATTCCCTTAGTGGATTCTGTTGTTCATGAGTTGATTGGTGAAGAGACCCATATCAAGTCTTACGCGGATAAAGGGTTTAAAGCAACCTCCATTCCTACTTCTACTCCTATTGTGCTTGTTGTTTCCTCTAATAAGTCTTGACAAACTCCAAGGGCTGCTTATGATGAGTGTGCATTCTACAAATAGAAAAATCATTGGAACCTCAGTGTCCATTGTTAGTAAACAAGGATAAATCTAGTCATCCTCAGTATGGACAACATAATAGTATGGTCAGCAGAAATTTCAGCCATGTTCACCTCATCCTCATAGTTCTCTGTTGTTGCTCCATTAATTGATAATGAGTTAGTTGTAAACCTACCACCTTATGTATTTTGGATCATAAGGTTTTTGAGAGTTTTAGACAGCTTTTAGCCTTTAATCCTACTGCCATGTTTGCATCTATGTCTCATTGTACCTACTTCATTTGGTAACTCAGGTATACCTTCATCTTTGTGGATTTTAGATTCTGGTGCAACGCATCGTATGTCTCCTTATTTGTCATCATTTACTTTCTTTTCACGCATATCATATATCTTTGTTATGTATGCTAGTGATATATCTATGACAGTTGAGGGTTTTGGGTCTATTTCTATTCCTGGTATGTTTCTCTCTGATGTTTATTACATTCCTAAACTCACTTTGAATCTTGTTTCAGTCAGCCAATTATGTGGGTCTGGTAATTAGGAGTTCTTTTCTGATTTTGCCTGTGTTATACAAGACCAACACACACAAAAGGTGATTGGTATCGATTGTAGGGTGGGATAACTTTATGTCTTGGAGGTTCTTAAAGTGTCTGTTGTTGCTGCCTCCAACATTGATTTGTCTTCTTTTCATTTGAGTCTTTTTTCGTCTCAATTTTATCTTTGGCATTCTCGTTTCGGACATGTATCTGTATCACGTTTGAGTTTTTAGCTTCTAGTGGTGTTTTGGGTGATTTAAACACTTATGATATTTCTGCTTGTAGTGGTTGTAAAATGGAAAATTTCTTTACTTTACCTTGTTGTAAGACTATGCCTTTCTCTATTGCTCCTTTTGACATTATTCATTCTAAAGTGTGGGGTCGTGCACCAATATCCATTAAGGGTAGGTCTACATATTATGCATCTTTTATAGATGATTATTGTGACAACCCTATATTTTTCCAAAAGCAGTGTAACGCTCAAAAGTCAAATACAACGAAAACTATTTGGAATCAACTAAATTAACCTCAAAAATAAAGTGTTCAAATATCTAAGATGGGATGCACCAACTAT